AAGGGCGAGCATGTTTGGTGGGATGGGGGATTCGAACCTGCGATCCACAAATTGCGAGTCGAGTGCCCTAACCACCTGGCTATGCCGGGCCAAATTTTATTGTGATAAAGGTTCTAAGCTATCAATATATTAGAAGCTGATTTTTGAGATACTATAATTTATAAAATGATGTGATTTTGGTTTCAGATTTTGGTATTTGAAACACGAACGACACCTCGCGTGCACATGAACTAAACACTGAGATCAGAAACCCTTAAAGCTCAGGTAGAGCCGTCCCTAATACCGAACTACTAACAAGAAGGAGGACAACCAGTCAGAAGCACCCCCCCCATCACCACAGCGTTTGTTGAACCAAATAAATAGACTGACTGTTACTTTTATAACGTAGCCACAACTAGAAGCGTGAAGCGTGTTCATTGCCATCTCAGCGTGAACCTTCTGACTTGCAGTCTGGCATGCTCACCAAAAGGCCGCGCCCGAACCCCGGATACTTGGGATTCATTCTTATACAAATATTATATACAGATATAAAATTGTACACCTTCTCAGACACTTACATATATTGTTTCTGCAAAACAGATAATTTACTTATAAGAATACTGCCGACCACTTCTTTCCGAAACTATTGAAAAATAACAAAGATATTTTGCAAATCGTTCATCCTGATAATAACGATCTTCAGTACAGAATTAAAAAAAAAAAGGTGCAATTTAAGGGCAGCGGTGACATCGAATCTAAATACAGAGAAAGGGAATGAATGTTGTTTTGATAAAAAATAATTTACTGGTTTCATATAATGAGTATACGTAAAAAAAAAGATACTTAAATTCAAACACAAATTACGACCTCATCGAGTTTTATTTCATTACCTTGATTTGTCTACTAATTTTATGTTCTGCTACAATAGCTTCCGAAATTAGCACGTATTTGGTAAAGTTACTAATACTTGTTCATTATTCTCCGGTGAGTCTTGAGTAAAAATTCCGCTTACAAAGCTCAAATCCGAGGTTCTATTCCCCGCGGTGGAAAGATAGTCCATTGTGTAGCTTTGTGTTGATACAAAAATAACAACAACAACAACTTAATTCAACTACATTTTACCTTTTATCCCAGAAAAATAATATTATAATACAATCATGGTATTTTTTTGGTACTGCTGCATTCATTATATTTATTTCAAAGCTGATTTGGTTTCAAAACAGTTGAATGGATAATACCTATCTAACATGTAATGTAGCAAAATGGTGAAGCTAATAGTTAAAGACATTTTGTTTATATATCTGTCAGGTGTTTAAGGATATTAAATCTTTAATCAAAGCGGCCGTTGTCATAATCTATGACAAGGTAGGACCTGTTATAAAGGTAGTTGGTTTACTCTAACGTTCAGACTCCAAAATTATTCACCAGAGAGCTATGATAACCGATTGATAAACTAATGAGACTATGGGGACCGATAGCGGTGAGTGCTAAAATAACTGTCAACAGGGGACGCTGATCATAACATTTGAACAGCCAACACGCTAGCAAAGTTTGATGTGAATGTTGTTGCTTCACTTCGTGAAGGGTTATGCCACACAACTGAACAATACACACCAACAGTTGCGGTTTATTTAGTTTCGTATGACACACAATTGACAGTACATTCCAACAGTTGCGCTTTATTTAGTTTCGTATGATACACAATTGACAATACATTCCAACAGTTGCGCTTTATTTAGTTTCGTATGATACACAACTGAACAGTACACTCCAACAGTTGCTCTTTATTTAGTGTCGTATGCCACACAATTGACAGTACACTCCAACAATTGCGCTTTATTTAGTGTCGTATGCCACACAGCTGAATAATACACTCCAACAATTGCGCTTTATTTAGTGTTGTACGACACACAATTGACAGTACACTCCAACAATTGCGCTTTATTTAGTGTCGTATGCCACACAGCTGAACAATACACTCCGACAGTTGCGCTTTATTTAGTGTCGTATGCCACACAGCTGAACAATACACCCCAACAATTACGCTTTATTTAGTGTCGTATGCCACACAGCTGAACAATACACTCCAACAATTGCGCTTTATTTAGTGTCGTATGACACACAATTGACAGTACACTCCAACAATTGCGCTTTATTTAGTGTCGTATGCCACACAGCTGAACAATACACCCCAACAATTGCGTTTTATTTAGTGTCGTATGCCACACAGCTGAACAATACACCCCAACTTATATGTTAATTACTTGATTTCAAAGAAAAATTCAACAAAGAACAGCACAATGACTCGATGATTCGTGAGCGATTAAGAGAAGGAGATTCGAGGTGCAAGAGGAGCTTGCTTAGTTGATTTACGTGTGAACTTATGCAGGTATTGTTTGATAAATTGGTGACCTGAAAGTTTGATTGTGATTTTTGCAACACATGACATTTCTTTGTTTAGGAAATGATGGTTAACTACTAATAGTGGCTGGAGTTAAAATACATTTGCGGAAGTAACTAATTTCTAATCGAGTTTTTCAGTTTTACAGCACACTCCCCTATAGTTTTATTTCTGTGGATACACTTGCTTGCTACAGTTAATTCTTCTCGACGTTTTGGGTAGATTTAGTTTCTCGTCTTTAGATCTTATGCTACCCGAAACGTTGAGATGAATCAACTGTCCCTACCACAGGTTGTTACTACCCATATAGAAACTTCACCAAACATCACAAATACGCGGCCACTAAACCTTCTATTAAGCACTATTTTCATTACTGGTAATAGGATATCATCTTAAATCGCTTAATCCTTATTATGTCAAAATGCTCATTAATCCTGTACAAGGTTATCAATATAACGTAATTTTCAGAGTCACCACTAACCCGAAGCATCCCTTCCATATCTAGCTGTAGCAAATCTTCTTTGCAGAACTGCAAAATGGCGACTGCTATACGAAACACCATTTCCATGCCCTGAAAAGTGAAAAATTAACGCTTTGAATTTTGAATTTTACATTTAAGTAAATCTCTAACTAAATTTCTTTTTTTTTATTTTAAAATGCCCATAATTTGTTGAAATGCATAGGGAGTATTTTTTGTTTGATTAAACGACTATTAACTCCTAAAATAATATCTTAATTCGCTCAACGTTTCATTGTGCAACTCCTTTAGGAGTGATCCTTAACTTTAACTGTTAAAATGAAGTTTCAAGTTTCTGAAGAAAGTTGTTGTTAAGTCAACTGATGTACAGTGATAAAATTTAGACTCTGAACACTTTATCCAAAGTCCTAAAATACAAAGAGCACAATATGAATCTAATTGTTTGTTATAAGTTAACAAGCAATCTCTGTTTTAACGGCAGCAGATATGGCAGGGCGCATTGTAGAAACCATATCCGACATTTTGTCTGTTTTTCTGAAAATCTATAGAAATATGCATTATTTTATGAGTAATCCATAGGTATGGATGATTGTTTTTTTTTTTCGGTAGAGTTGGGTGAATTTTTACCCTAATTCAGACATTGGTCTTGGCATTGTTGTGGTACATTGTCTTTATTGTACACTAACCATTCCCGAACTTTGTGAAACCTGTGAGGAACTGCTAAGACAACGAGTTAGAATCTCTGAGTGTTTGTTCTTGCTAACCTGCAAATATAAAATAGCAAAATGTCCGATGTGTTGCAGGTGTAGCAGATGCGGATGCGATTGCTATGGCACATCCGTTGCTCAAAAAGTTAGCCGCAAGAGAGAGAGAGGCCAAAGAAGCTTCGGCAGAGGAGATGCTTTCAACGCCCAAAGAAAAGTAAGTCATCGCGCAGGAGCGGTAAATTTACGGATTTTTCCGACGACTTGCCCTCAAATAGGGATGAGAGCAGAAGGAATAGAACAATTCAAGATCAGGTAAGGAATGAAGAATAAGAAGACAGTTTTTGGAGTGAAGTGTAAGAGTATTACAAGCATAAGAGGAGAGAGGAATACTAAAATAATGGGTGGTTCAATTTGGTAGAATAGAAAAACATCTAAACGACTACTCCAATCAAAGAAAACAGCATGAGCAAATGATCACTGGATCATACCCTACAACACATATACCTCACTCTTAGGTTTCAGGATTTATGGATCTCATGGGATATCCCACCAACTTCCAAAACAGTCATATTTTTTATCACTGGATCATACTCTACACACCCATATACCTCACTCTTAGGTTTCAGGATTTATGGATCTCATGGGATATCCCACCAACTTCCAAAAAGGTCATATTTTTTGATCACTGGATCATACCCTACACACCCATATACCCCACTCTTAGGTTTCAGGATTTATGGATATGATGGGATATCCCACCAACTTCCAAAACAGTCATATTTTTTGCCGATGAGTCAGAGATTGTTTGTTAATATCACAAGAAGTTTTTTTTAAAACATGCCATATGAATGCATTTTTATTACACGTAAAGATGGTTTTAACAAAACTTTAGTTACTTGCTTGAAACATGTCCTTATATACGTATTCATTAATTACTGTTTCAACCTACTCCCCATCATTACAGTTTGAGGTATCTTATGAATTACCATATTTTTTGTACCTTTTAAAACAAAAATCCTAAAGTATCGTCTAATGTTTTCCAGTTTTCTACAGATATAAGCATTATAGTTGCCATTTTTAAAAATTAGTTATTTAAATTGTGATTAATGTTTATATACACATATTCCACCAAAGCCCTATCACTTAAAGATTAAAGGAAAATCAATATATATATATGTAATATACAGAACTTAGGAGCTTACACTACCCATTCTTCGTTCCCTTGTATGTCAGTAGACTATTTTATAACCTAAAATCAAAATGATTAATTATGATTCTACAAAATGACTACTAGCCTCGGAGAGAAACAGATCCATGACTCTCAGAGCTAACTGAAGTGGCAGAGCAGCTGTGAATAGAGTTAAGAACCAAGATGACGCATACATTGATGTGTGGAAACTTTGTGACTGAAAGTGGATATGTAACTCAGGAATCTGCTCCTAGAAGGAAGAAGAGAATAAAACATTTAAAGACTGAAGAGTAAGAAATGCTATGCTTTTCGTATGTTGATTTGTGTCTTGTGAACTCTTGTTTTTGAAGTGGAAGAGGATTACAAAAAACAGCTATTGAGAGTTACGCATTAACTGAAAAAAACGACATAAAAGTATACTGAAAACTTAGAGTTGAGAAATTTTAGTCACATCATCTCAATTAATATCTCGAATATTTCCTTAATGATTCCAATGATTAAAATTTCTTGGTTTATTTTTATTTATAATGATCAAATTATGATGAACTTTAGATTATTTCAAAAGCTAAATTGGTTCTGTTAATAAATAAATTTTCTTTGGTTTAATGTATCTAAAATAAAATCATTTTGTAATATGGTTTGTTATGAATTTCGCACAAAGCTACACGAAGGCTATCTGCGCTAGCCGTCCCCAATTTAGTAGTGTAACACTAGAGGGAAGGCAGCTAGTCATCACCACCCACCGCCAACTCTTGGGCTACTCTTTTACCAACGAATAGTGGGTTTGACCACGGTTGAAAGGGCGAGCATGTTTGGTGTGACGGGGATTCGAACCCGCGACCCTAAGATTTCCGAGTCGAGTGCCCTAACCACCTGGCCATGCCCCGCCCAGTCGGAAAGGAGAGCGTGTTTAGCCACCAGGTATCGTCAAATTTAAATTATTTCGGATGCGTGTGTGTTTTTTTTTATAGCAAAGCAAATGATACTCATATTAACATAGTTAACATATTAACTGAGAAGTTAGATTTAACCATTACTCATAAAATATTCACAGTCACAAAGCGCGCAATGCGATTTTTTTAGCAACGGGACACGAATCATAACGTCTGTTCATAATGTATGTTGCTTACCTTACCAAACATAATTTCTAAGTGATAATGAAACTTAACATAAAACTAACACACATCTATTCTGCATGGGAGATGAACTTTTTGCTTGTACACACACATATATATAATTCTTTGGATGGCATATTTTAGTAGTTAAACGCTTACATGCTGGGTTGTACATGATCTAACACCTTTCTGTGTAAAACATACATTGAAATATTACCTGCACTATAGATTCTAGCTGGTACATACATAGACCAAACTCAGCCATGTTGGGTTTGTACGTGATCTAACACCTTTCTGTGTAAAACACACACTGGAATATTACCTGCACGATAGATTCTAGCTGGTACATACATAGACCAAGCTCTGCCATGCTGGGTTTGTACGTGATCTAACACCTTTCTGTGTAAAACACATACTGAAATATTACCTGCACGATAGATTCTAGCTGGTACATACATAGACCAAGCTCTGCCATGCTGGGTTTGTACATGATCTAACATCTTTGTGTGTAAAACACATACTGAAATATTACCTGCACGATAGATTCTAGTTGGTACATACATAGACCAAGCTCTGCCATGCTGGGTTTGTACATTTCTCGTAGCCTGTAGTCTTCCATCAGCCTCGTTAAAACAGCAAATGCTTCTTCTTCTGGCATCTAGAAAAGTTATAAACAGATCATGTGAAACTTTATGATTCCATATTGATACTTCAATTATAGAACAACAACAGAAAGTAAACAGTGGTCACTGCTACGTCACAAAGCGTTTACTTAATATCTAGAGACAGTCTCACACAAAACATGGTATGTTATTCGATTTCACAACCATATACCAAACCGTTTTTTTAATAATAATAATAAGACTGGAAACATAAAAGTTTCTTCTCTGCTTGTTCCCACACCTCCATAGCTTCACGTTTTTCATAAAACATTCACAGTGTACCATATCGACCAGTTTTTCGTAAGTTTATTTTTCGAAACATATATTCTTTTCGTAGTTTAAGGCTTAGGCACATTTAATGATTTTTATGGAAAGCTTCTCTATATCTATGAAGGTATTTCAAACCTCACGATACTGTATAACTAAATAAACAATGATTTTGTTTTTATATTGACTCGCATCTGAGGCCCGGCATGGCCAGGTGGATAAAGCG